CCTGTAATCCCAGCTACTCGGGAGGCTGAGACAGAATGGCTTGAACCCAGGAGGCAGGTGTTGCAGTGAGCCGAGATCACGTCACTCTACTTCGGCCTGGGTGACAGAGTAAGACTCTGTCTCAAAAAAAAAAAATTATGAAATTCCCTATTTCACCTAGTCTTTTTTTTTTTTTTTTACATAGCTGCTTACTTCCAGATCACCAGTCTTTTTTAGGGAAAGCAACTAACAACATATTTCTTGTGAACTAGAGGGTTGAAGTTGAATTTTGTTCATTTCTGCTGAGACCCCTAAGGCATCGTCCCTGGACCAGCAGCAGCCTGGATGCAACACCAGGTGGTCCCAAGTGAGCTCAGGCTTCTGCTGGGAACACGGTCTATAAAGGATGATCTATAAAGGAGCTGGAAGTTCGAGGATAATTTTTAGAGGCCACCGAGAGACTATGAATCTTACCACCCACAGAGGAAGGCGGTGGGGTTTCTGCTTCACCTCCAGTCAACAGAAGAGAGTGTGTAGAGGGGAGACCCTGAGAGCCAGGAGCCAAGGATAGACAGCACCGGCCAGAGGGCGCATCCTCCGGAGGGAGTGGAGCTGCCAACAGAAGAGGGCGGGGGCATGCCTGTGAAAGCTCATAAAAACGAACCCCCCAGGCTCGGGAGCCAGAAGCCTGCTCACAGCAGTATCTGTGAATGATGAACTTCCGCTCCCCACCTCACCCTCCCCAGCAACTTGGGCAAAACAGGTGACAGCACCAAGTGGCAAATAAAACCAAGGCCAAACACAAGCTGCTCTCCCCTTGAAGACAGCGAGGTTCCGTGCGGGCCCACGGTGGAAGGGGTGGCCTCTCTCTCCAAATGGGGCTCAGAGGAGTTGTTCCTGTGGTGGACAAGGGGCTTCATCTGCCCAGGGCAGGGCTTGCCCCACATCTCACCTAGGGATGGGGTAGAACACGCCCTGAACAGTAAAGTTAGACAGTGGGAGACCAAAATCAAGGTGCTTTTGATTGGATTAAGCTTGTTTGCCACAGCAGTAGGACCAGCATTTTGAACACCTTCTGTTAATTGTGTTGTCATCTCAACTGAACACATAATTGATCAGTGTAAGTTCACGCACACTGGGGTGTGCTTACTAATTTGATGGATTTGGTGACTTAGTGATTTCTACCTGCTGTGACGATGGAATCTGAGACCTCCATTTTTCATTTTTTCTTTTTCTGGAATTTGGTATGGAAAGATGGCTTTTAGGATTCTCAATGAAAAATGTGCCAACATGCAGTGTCTCAGAGCCAAAAACATATGGAAGGCGAGAAAACCTAGAATCCTTGGAACATTTTTAATTTCTGGAGAAAAGGCAGTACCAGCTTGCAGAGGAGGATCCGAATTCCAGGGAGCTGTGGCCAGGGCGGAGGCGAGGCATGAATGCTGAGGGAGATGCCAGCTGCGGCACCTCCCAAGAAGCAGCCACCTTGCTGAGATGCAGGCCCTGCTCATGGAGCCCAGGCAAGAGCTGTACCTTAGAGGGCAGAAATCATACTTGGTGGAAATGAGAACAGGGTGGCCTCTCGGGAGTGGGCTGGGCCAACTGCGAAGAAGCAGCAGCCGCTTTCCTGAAAGGGCTGAGGTTACTCAGGGGTCACATTTGTCACTTTAAAGATTTGTGCATTTTACTCTACGTAAATCTTACCCATCCTTCAAAAACAGAAAACAAACTAGTTACTGATTTACACGTGGAAGTGCTTAGGGGCAGGTACTGCCTGAAATATACTTTGAAATGCATAAAAAATAAGATAGATAGATGGAAGAATGGAAAGTTATGTGATACAGAAATATAGCAAAATGGTTAACTATAGAATTGAGATGGAAGATACACAATTATTTCAATTATCTATAGGTTTGAAGTTTTTCATTAAAAAATTGGGCAGTCACAGTGGCTCTCGCCTGTAATCCCAGGACTTTGGGAGGCCTAGGCAAACAGATCACGAGGTCAGGAGTTTGAGACCAGCCTGGCCAATGTGGTGAAACCCCGTCTTTACTAAAAATACAAAAATTAGCCAGGCATAGTGGCGCATGCTGGTAGTCCCAGCTACTCAGGAGGATGAAGTAGGAGAATCCCTTGAACCTGGGAGGCAGAGGTGGTTGCAGTGAACCAGCCTGGGCGACAGAGACTCCATCTAAAAAAAGAAAATACTGGGTGCGGGCACGCCTTTGCTGTATTGGCAAATGTTCCTCTGAACTCAGAACCCATGCTTTTCCTTCCAGGCCTACGACAGTTGTCAGTTTCTAACCTTGATAGCATACACGCTACTTCTGAGTACAGAAACACTGGAGTTGTTTATGTGGAATATCATCATTTAGATTCTTAAAAATCTGAATTTTGGCCAGGCGCAGTGGCTCATGCCTGTAATCCCAGCACTTTGTGAGGCCAAGGCAGGAAGATCACCTGAGGCCAGGAGTTTGAGACCAGCCTGGCCAACATGGTGAAACCCCATCTCTACAAAAAAATACAAAAATTAAGGCTGGGCGAGGTGGCTCACACCGATAATCCCAGCACTTTGGGAGGCCAAGGGCAGGCGGATCACAAGGTAAAGAAATTAAGACCATCCTGGCCAACATGGTGAAACCCCGTCTCTACTGAAAATACAAAAATTAGCCAGGTGTGGTGGTGGGCGCCTGTAGTCCCAGCTACTCAGGAGGCTGAGGCAAGAGAATCACTTGAACCCAGGAGGTAGAGATTGTAGTGAGCCAAGATTGTGCCACTGAACTCCAGCCTGGGCAACAAAGTGAGACTCTGTCTCAAAAAAAAAAAAAAAGTAGCCAGGTGTGATGGTGGGCGCTTGTAGTCCCAGTTACTCAGGAGGCTGAGGCCTGAGGCAGGAGAGTCACTTGGACCCAGGAGGTGGAGGTTGCCGTGAGCTGAGTTACACCACTGCAGCCCAGCCTTGACGACAGATTCTGTCTTAAAAAAGAAAAATCTGGCCGGGCGTGGTGGCTCATGCCTGTAATCCAAGCACTTTGGAGGCCAAGGAGGGTGAATCACCTGAGGTGAGGAGTTCAAGACCAGCCTGACCAACATGGTGAAACCCCATCTTAAAAAAAAAAGAAAAATCTGAATTTTAATCTTTTTTTTTTTTTTCTGTAAACCTTCTCTCTGGCCATAAACTTTTCATATTTTTTTTTGAGACAAGTTCTCACTGTCACCTAGGTGGAGTGCAGTGGCACACTCATAGCTTGCTGCAGCTTCAACCTCAAGCGATCCTCCCATCTCAGGCTCCCCAGTGGCTGGGACTACAGGCACACACCACCACACCCAGTTAATTTTCATATTTTTGGTGGAGACGAGGTTTTGCCATGTTGCCCAGGCTGGTCTTGAACTCCTGGGCTCAAGCAACCGATCCACCTTGGCCTCCCAAAGTGCTAGGATTACATTACAGGCAGGAACCACCACGCCAGGCCAAATTTTTATGTCTTAAGATGAGTCCAGGGAATTATGCTTGCCTTGCTGCATTACAAACTCCTAATGCACATGGTGGGCTCCTGATGTACAAAATCCTGGTGCTCAAGGGACTGGGAGGCAGAGTATCTTCATTTTCCTAAGAAACTTCCCCCAGGACCTTGATGGAATGCTTTTAGGTTGGGGAACTTTAAGGCAAACAACAGGGAGTGGTAGGGGAACTAGGGGAAGGTGGAAGGGACAGGCCCCCAACCCTATTCCGAACTCTTGCTCTGGAGCCAGAACACCTCCCGCCAGGGACAGACCCACCCGCCATCCTAGAAAACTGACCTCTCCTCCTCTGACCCCCTTCCGCATTATACTTAGAGAAACTCAAGCAAGACGGAGGAGCCTCAGACTCAGATCCCAGCTTCTGAGAACACAAGGAAGATGCTGCTGGCCACAGCCCACTTTCGTTTGAAGCATGGAACCTAGGAGATAATCACCACGTGGCATCCGCAGTCATCCACTCTCAGAGGGCGCTTCCTAGGTCCACAGGGACAGGGTAAACCAGTGTTTCCCAGACAACGTTACTTGAAGATTCAGGGAAATCTATTTGAAAGGATTATTTTTATATTAAGACAATCACGGATATATTATAGAATGGAAAATTCCTATTATCTTTCATTAGATTTTGAAGAATTTTGCCAAGCCCTTGTAAACTACACCCCTAACCTCCCAAGAGTACATATTTTACTACTCTGATAGCCTTAAGGAAGCTTCACTGGAAAATCTGGGAAGTATCCTAGATGGAAGAACTCACAGACAGTGGTGCCTTCTGGGGCAGGGAGAAGTACAATGACGGGGATTTCCAGGCTCATATTACACAGTGTGGAGTCTTTTTCCTGTGTAACAGGAAACAGAAGACAAAAACCCTAATAAAATTAAATACATGTGGTTTCTGGGAGAAAAAACAAGAGTGTGGCTGGGCGAGAGGTGGGTGGGAGCCTGAGTGCAGGTGACTTCTGGGAAGCTCTTGGCGAGAGGACCCCTGCACCCCGAGTCTGCGGGGCAGATGTCTGCCCAGGATGGGCTTATTTGGGTGAACAGGGGCCCTTCAGGATTTCTGGGGCAGGCAGTGTGGGAAGAGTGGGGCTATCTGAGTCCGAGACCCATGTCCTGGCCATAAGGGCATAGGCAAGCCGTTTCAGACCCCAAGTCCTCATGTCTGAGGTGGCTCTAGTCTACAGAGGGTACCATAAGGTGAGAGCTACTGTATATGACACACCGGGTGCATTCCAGGTCCTCAGCGAGCACTGCTCTCTTCCTTTCCCCAGTGCAGCATAGTAGGAAAAAAGCCTTTCAACACTGACAGCAGTGGGAAATGGTAAAAGGGGGACTAGGGCGAAGAGGCCCAGAAACCAGGGCACCAATTACACACCAAGCTACAGTAAGTATGGCCACAGGCACAAGAAGAGCAGGCCTCTTGGAGGCCATGAACATGATCTCCCACCATCGCTGGAGGAGGCAACCAGGCCGCTGATGTGTGATTACACAGGAAGAGAGAGACCTTTTCAACCTGGTGTTTAAAGACACAACAGCAGGGTAAGCATTTTGGTTATTTTTACTTAAAGAAAAACAGCCTTCTCCAAGGGCAACAAAGTGAACTGAAGGTCAGAAGGAAGCTGGGTGCAGGCTTCTCGCGAGTTCTTGCTCCAAAACCTGGAAGTGAGGTGAGAGGGCCCTCTGGGAACTCTGGGGAAGGCCGGCACAGCACAGGGGTTCCTTTGGTTGGGGAGGAAGAGCCGCCAGCCCACACATGGTCATTGGATTGGTCTGAGTGGGCTCCAAGGTGACTGTCACATGCTAGTCTGCTAACATGATCGACATTTAACATTCTTGGGGGACATTAAATTAAGGAATGACACAGGGAGTCAGGAGAGTGGCCTATTCGGTTGGATTCTGAATCACAATCAGGAAATAGTCTTTATCTGCAAAAGAGAAAAGTAAAAAAAAGAGAAAAAAAAAAAATCAGTAAATGTAAAATGAGAGAACAGACAGGAAAGCAAATAAGCCATTAAATCACTAACCATAAAATGAGGAAGGGGAGAAAGCAATAAAAAGCATCAACACTCAATATCTCCAAGTGCTGGGAAAACACAAGATAAACTTGCAAGTTTCCTGCGGGGGCTCCTGCAAGAGGGGCCTTCCTATGCCGGGCAGCGGGCACTCTGCAGTGCATCCTCTCTTCTAAGCCTCCCCACGACAGTGGCAGCAGGTGGGCAGGATTCTCACCTGTTTTCCAGGTGGGGGGAACTCTGGTTCAAAGAGCTCCATGAATTGCCTAAGGCCATGGTTCTCAAAGTAGGGGCATCCCAACCACCTGGAGGGCTCCACGCCCAGAACTGTCATTTGGTGGGCTGGGGCACAGCCCAAGAGTTTGCATCTCTAACAAGTTCCCAGGTGATGTTGATGCTGTAGGCTGTGGAAGGACCACTGGCTTAAGGTTACCCAGCTAGGTAGTGTCAAAGATGGAATTCCAACCATAGCCTCACTGGACTTGGGTAATGTCATTTTCTTTCTTTTCTCTTTTTCTCCCCCCAAGACAGGATCTTGCTCTGTTGAACACCAGGCTGAGTGCAGTGGTGTGATCATGGCTCACTGCAGCCCCAACCTCCTGGGCTCAGGTGATCCTCCTGCTTCAGCCTCCTGAGTAGCTGGGACTACAGGCACGCGCCAC